GGGTCGTCCTCGATGTTGCGGGCCCCGATGTGGTGGCCCAGCTGCTTTCTGTAGGCAGTTTTGTATTTGTACTGGTGGAAGGCAGAAACAACAATTACCACCTCTTTTCAAGCTGCAATTTTAATTTCTCTGTTGTTAATATTGTGGTTAATCACTTTGCATCTAATAGATGCTTGTTTTCCTGTTTATTTTCCCAATATTTTTAGCACTTTATAGAAGGTCCCCTAGATATTATGGGATCTTTTACAGTTATATAATTTGACATTTTAAATTATTGCATTTAATTTAATTAACTTTACACCATTAAGAATTACACAGCCTTGGAGGAAGGCAGCAATATAAGAGTGGTAAAATTTTAGACCTCTCCTCCTTTTAAATATAAAACATGTTAATCCTAAAGTATATCCCCCCTCAATGCCCCACTATTATTTTCCCTGCAAGTCTTACCTCACTGGCAATGTCCCTGGATGCCTTTGCTGCCTGGAGAGGGATGGCATCAGGAGGAAGGTCATAGCCCTTCTTCTTCAGCTCTTCATATCCCACCTTGTAACGTTTCTGTTGGAAAAGGATTCAAAGGAATTATTGCAAAGACATTTTTCCACAGAGTTTTTGAATGGTACAACTTTACACCCCTTGACTATTGAAAATAAAGCTTTGGTTTCCAAACACAGCTTGATCAAATTAAATTCCATACCTTGCTATTAATTACATATATTTTGTAACTGATTATATATATATATATAAATTACTATCTGAATGTTTTCTGATACCTCATTCAAGATCAAAATTTCCTTCTACTAAATATATTAATCTGAATGAGTCACAGAGGTGAATAATACAGCCCCATGATTCTCTACACCCAATTTCAAATGCAGTTATTTTTGTTTTCCTGAGTTCTCATGATAGAGCTCTTGATATTTCTTTACCTTTGCATACAGTCTGTATTTGTTCCTTTGTAGCCAGGATTTTTATGTGAAATACAGAATCTTATGTAATTCTAAAGAGGCAATTTAATATAATCAGATATTTCCATAGGAATGACAGGTTTACTAAAATGTACTGAATATCTACAATATTAACATGAACAGTGGGGATCAAAGAGAGAAAACTGGTAACATGTTGGATATTTTCCTAGTATTTTTTATGTTCTGGCAACTTCACTTCCACTTTATAATTCAGCAGTTCCCCCTCAGGCTTCCCAGTGCATAAGTTTTCTCAGGAAAGATCCCAGGTGTGTTTACAGCTGTTAGAATTGCAGAATGACTTGATTGCTTTGTAAACTAAAGGCACAATCACAATTCCACCAAGGAAACATTGTAGAGACACACTTACATCACTTGTGTTAATCAAGTTTGACTTAGCCAGCAAAATTTCAGGAGTATCAGGCATGATGTGAATCTGAGTCTTGTCCTTGTTCCAAGCTTCTTTGTAGAGGATCTGAAAAACCAAACAAAAACCTTGTCTGATCCAAGATTCCCCTGCACAAGACTAATTTCAGTTTATCTTTTCCCTGCAATAGCAAAGCAAAGCTGTACTCTGCAAGAATTAGGGATGTAAACAACACAGGAGATTAAAATCAAATAACACAATGACTTCTTGGTGAAATACAACCTATTTTTTTCTTCTTCGCATCCATGTAACGCCAAGGCAACAGCATTAAGGCAATATATCTACACACTACCTAGAAAAGGTCTTATTTGTAGCTATTACTGGGTAAGTTACTCAGCATTAAAACCTTGATCTTCTGAACAAGGCACAGTGACAACAAGCAGGGTGGCACTGACTGTAAATATCTGCTATTTGTATATTTTAAGCACATGTTTTGATATGGAGATCACTTAAAAATGTCTATTAATGTAAGTATTCATTGAATCCCACATTCTGTCTCTAGAGGCAACTCACATCACTTCTATTTTTGGCATTAGACTTGGCCAAAACGATATCCATGGCATCTGGGATACTTGTGAACTTGATGGTGTCTGGGTGCTGCCTGTACTTCTTCTCACTCAGGATTTCAGAAGCTTTCTTGTTCTTCTCAGCTTCCAGAGATCCCAGAGGACTCCATCCAATGCCCCTGAGCCATTGTAGATCTGACTTATACAAATTCTGTTAAGGATGAAAACCAAAGCCACAGTAGATTATTTCACTGTTCATTGATGAAAAGACTAACTGGTATTTTAGCTTCACTCTGATCTATATTGACATCAAAGAGAGTTACCAAAGATATTTTCCAAAAAGCAGCAATTATTTTACAGGAAAATGAGTGAATTAAACTCAGAGGAAGCTTACATCACTCTGCAGTTCATTGACCCTCTTGGCCTCAGTGACATCAACCTGGTCTGGCAGACAAGTCCAGCGGTGCAGTATCCGCTTGTAGTCGATATCACTGACCAGTTCCTGACACTTCTTAGCCAGGAGGAAGCCTAACATATCCACAGGCATGTTAAACTTGGTCTTCCACTTCTCAAAATCTTTCTTGTACTCCCTGTCACTCTGCATTTTAGCTACTTGCATAGACCACAACATCTTGGGATCATCCTGCAGGCTGCGGAACCCGATGTGGTGTCCCTGCTGCTTGCGGTAACCTTCCTTGTACTTGAACTGCAACGAGAGGGGTTGATTATCAAATTACAAGGGTAAAACAGCAATATATTCTCTCATTCAATTGCCATTACCAATTACCCCTGGAAGTGTCCAAGGCCGGGTTGGGTGGGGCTTGGATTAACCTGGTCTAGTGAAAGGTGTCCCTGTCCATGGCAGGGGGTGGAACGGGATGAGCTTTAAAGGTCCCTTCCACCCCATTCTGTGACTCTATAACTCTATAAAAAAGCAATTTGTTATGGCATTTCAGGTAGTTTTAGTAGCCACTTGATCAAAGGGCACCACTTGGTGACAGTGAATGCTCTCCCAGGAGAGGAAGAGGGCATAGCTAGAAGGTCTCCTGTGCCATCTGATTCACAGAATGCTCAGAATTCCTAAGACTGACACACTGAAATACTTTGGTGAATAACATCATCAACAATGAAAAATGCAGATGCTTAAGCACTGGAAACATTTCCTAATGATTAACAAAATCTCTTGCACAAATGCAGGAGCTGTACTCATGCCAAGTTATGGTAACAGCAGCACGTGTGTCACCACATGTTTCAGAGTTGGGAGGAGGATTTCTCTGTGTAGGCACCAGGCCCAGCTCATTGGGCCAAATTTGCTGCTGCTTTGAAAAGGAAATATCCAAAAAAGCAGACAGCTCCTCACTTTGTATCACTAATGACTCCATGGATGGACCACAAACTTTGCACTTGTTAAGATGCCAGAGAAACCCTTGTTAAATTGTTTTCTGCACCGACAAGAACAGACCAGGAAGGAGTTTTTTGTCAGCAGTTTGGACTCCAAGCCACACCTTAGGGAGAGGTGTGTCTCAATCCAGTGTGACTGTAGGTTATAGCAACTACATCAGGTGTGTGTCAGAGTCAGAAATGCTGCTTACATCACTTGCAATGTCCCTTGAAGCTTTGGCAGCTTTCACTGACATGGCTTCAGGTGTGAGGTCGTAGCCTTTCTTTATCATTTCCTGCCAGCCCAGCTTGTAGAGTTTCTAAAATTGAAAACAACAGGAATTAAAAAGTCTTAGTAATATGAATGTTACAATCTATTTAGGTACACTAATGATCTATATTACCAAATTCTGGTCACTTCACAGGTTTCACTTACAAGGGAAGGGCTGCCAGAATAGGAACTGAGAAGTGGGAAACTGATAAACAAGGAATACTGGTCTTCCAAGGCTTAGGATAGGCATTAAATAGTTTTTTGCCATTGCAGCAGCTTCCTACTAGAGCTTATCTTGGGGAATTTGAAATATATACACCTGGGATAACTGTTCAATTGGCTTAACAAAATTTTAATTTGTAAGGGTTTCGTGCAGCCATTCCACAGTCAAGTAAGTCTTGGATTTTCAGGACAGGCACTTGCAAGTCCAAGATTTCTCTCTGAGCAATGATGCAAAGCAAAACCTGAGGATTTTTTCTGGTACAATTGTCACTTTCTCCTACTTGAAAGCTGCCAGAAAAGAGGGAATCACTGCATGTATCCCCTAGGTTAAAAATACACACAATTAACTTATAATTTTAAAGTAAGGAATTTTTAACTGATTTTATGTTAAGCGTAGAGTGTGGCTTGTACAATTCCAGACTTCCAAAACAGGATTTACATTTTCCATACATTATAATGCAATTTAGTCTGTTAGTTTGTAGCCTGAAGGTGGTACTTAATGTTACTCTTAAAATGTTACTCACATAAAAACTCTTGCCTCTGTTCTAAACCCCCAGCAGGTATTAATTTAAAATGTTAATAGGAAGAATTAAAAAACTCTACCTGACTGTAGTTTGTCTTGTTCTGTTTTGCCTGGAGAATATCTGGTGTATCTGGCATCACATGGACCTGAGTTTTATCCTTCTCCCAGGCTTGAGTATAAGCATGCTGTGGATAAAAAGTACATCAGAAATGTTAATATAAATGATAAAAGATGGTTCTTTAGGGGTTTTCACCTTTCCATTTGTGCACTTTGTGTACTGAGGGGTAAAAAGACATGTGCTGGCTTAGATTTATTTTACTATGTAATGACCTAATCCAGAATCAGCTGAATTATTATCCAGTCCTGCTTCTAATGAAGTCCAACTATCAAGATTTTCAGGACCAGCAATTTTTATATAAGAATGGGAAGAATAGAGCTTGCAGAAAAGTGAGAAAAGATTTTTCAACAATGCTATTTATCCACTGTTTCATTAAGAAACAAAATGAAGAAAGAGGAGCCTGTGACAGTTGTTTTTCCCAGTGAAATGCTGCTCCATAAAGGTGGTGACAGAGACTTACAGACTGTTTATTGGAATGGATTCTAGGTGAATGTTTGCCTAATTTCCCCCATAAATACTCACTTTGTTCATGATATTTGCATTCTGCTTTGCAAGGACCAAGTCCATGGCATCATTCTGTTTGGTGAAGGAGAACTGGCTGGGATGCTGGCGGTACTTCCGATCGCTCGCAATCTCCGTGGCTTTCTTGGATTTCTCCACATCCAGGGAACCAATAGGACTCCAGCCAATGCCCCTGAACCACTCCTTGTAATCCTGCTTGTACTCATTCTGCCAAGAGAACACAAAAGGGAAGCTCACAATTCACTCTCAGGCACAGGGTGGGACTTCTGGGGATGGGCCTGTGCAGGGCCAGGAGCTGGACTCGATGATCCCTGTTGGGTCCCTTCCCACTCGGGATATTCTGTGATTCTGTGAAACAGCTCACACAAAAACCATCCAAAAGACAGCTGTGATGTAAGAAGAGGAAAAAAGTCCCAAGAATTAAACCAGAAACTTACATCACTCTGTATCTGGTTCATGTTTCTGTAGAGTTCCAGACTCATGGCATCTGGCAGGAGCATGTACTGGTGGATCAGGCGCTTGTAGTTGGTGTTGGTCACACGGCCTTGGGCCTCCTTGGCTGCCACCACGCTGAGGGCATCGGTGGGAGTCTGGTAGTGAGTCTTGCTCATCTCATAGGCCTTCTTGTACTCCCTGTCCGACTGCATCTTGGCCACTTGCATGTAATGGACAAGCTTGGGATCATCCTGGAGGCTGCGGAAGCCCACGAGTTTGCCCTTGTCCTTTTCATAACCTAATTTGTATTTGTACTGTAGGAGAACAGAAACAGAGGCTTTAGTTTGTTTAGATTGGACATTAGGAAGGAATTCTTGGCTGGGAGGGTGGGGAGGCCCTGGCACAGGTTGCCCAGAGAAGCTGTGGGTGCCCCATCCCTGGAATGTCCAAGGTTGGATGGGGGCTTGGAGCAACCTGGCATAGTGGAATGTGTTGGGGTTGGAACTGGATGATCTTTAATGTCTCTGCCAACCCAGGCCATTCCATGATTCTATGATTCATTTGCTTAGTAAGGAACATCTATCTTACAAGGAAAATACCCCCCCCCTCAGATTAAAATAAGATTTTGACATAGTTAAAACATCACAAAGCATATAGAGGTGGTGGCTTGGTCCTCTTACTCTTAGGATGCACTCTAAAGCAAACCAGATGTCTGGGGTGCCTTCAAAAGCAGGGTATTTAAACCACTTTCTTAAAATGTATTACAATATATATTAAAATGTATTACAATATGTATTACAATGTATTGCAATACATATCAAATATGTCGGAATTATTTACAAGCCAAAGAATAAAGAGACTTCATGTATTTGGCATCTAAAATTGAACTGTGTCAAGAACTGAACTCTTTACAACACCTAAAATGGATCATTTTTGATTTTAAGAACTTACATCACTGGCAATTTCCCTGGAAGCTTTGGCAGCTTTAATAGGGATGGCATCAACTCTGAGGTCGTATCCTTTCTTCCTGGATTCTTCAAATGAAGATCTGTACATTTTCTGCCAAAAGAAGGAGAATCATCTTTTAAAAAAGCAAAAAAATTGCATGCTTTCCACATGGACAAATATTGGGGAAAAGTTATATCTATAAGGATGTCAGAATAAAAAAAAAAACAAAACAAAAAAAAAGACACAAATATGTCTCTTTCTGCCCGTGTTAAATGCACAATTACAAGCAGTACTTTATTTAGCAGATGCAGATTTAAAAACTGGCTACCAAAACCTGTCTGTAATTTCACCTGTTACCAAAAGAACAGGTGCAATCTGCAAGAATGCTCAGTCCAGTAGAAAACCTTGTACATGGGGAAATAAAATAACAAATAATAAATGCATTAACAAACATGAATAGTGCTCAAATTGTACTATCCTGTTAGCAACTATTATATTTTAATGACCTACCTGAACATTTCATAATCTGACCAGAAATAATATGGGTTTTACTTGGCTACTTTTGGTCTCTAATTTTGGGGAAGGCAGCAGGGAAAAGGCAAATTAATAACTTTTTGGGAAATTACTACATGTTAGCAAGGTGAGAATTAGAGAGACTTATTTTTGCTGTCATATCACCTATTCCTAATAAAAAATTAAAAGCAAGGTCAGAGCCTTACAAACAGTACTCACTTCACTTATGTTAAATGCATTTGCTTTTGCCAAAACAATCTGTGGAATATCTGGGGTGATGTGAATTTTCTTTTTGTCTTCTTCCCAGGCTTGTTTGTACTTGTGCTGGAAGGATTAAAAAAAAGGATGTCAGCATCTCTTTTTATTAAATAAAACCATTTAAAAGACTATTACCTATTTGAAATATCACCTCACCTTGACACTGAGGTGATACTAAATATCTCTTATTTATTTTTATCTTCTTATCTTTACCTTTTATATTTTTTATTTTATTATTAACATTTATCCTAACAATCTGTCTCTTTATTTTAGCACTTAAAATCTACTCATTAACTGCAAAAAAATCGATAGTTTCTAAATCTGTGCCTACAATAAGATTGGCTCTTACATCAGGTAGAGTTTGTTTCTTACTTCTGCAAACCTAAATGAATTTTGCTGACCCCCTTCTCACCTCATCCATGATTTTGGCATTATTTAAAGCCAAGACCATGTTCATGGAGTCCATGGGAACAGAATATTTCAGCTTGTCCGGGTGCTGCCGATATTTCTTCTCACTGACAATTTCCATGGCTTTTTTGTTCTTCTCAGCTTCCAGGGAGCCCAGTGGGAGCCACCCAACCCCCTTCATGGTTTCATCATACTCTGCTTTGTATTGATTCTGGAGGCAGAAAGAAAAAACACCTCAGACACATAAAAAAAAATAAATCTGTAAATCCTGATATTTCTTCCGGTTTGTAAAATTTGGAAGCACAAGATAAAAGCTATTAATGAGAAATTAGGCTTTTACTGTGTTGGTCTGCACACAACTATTGCTCCTAAAGAGCCTGGTGGGACCTGCAAGGAGTAAATATCCATTTTACTTTCGTAACATTACTTATTTTTGAGCTGAAATTCTTTAGCAATAGGTGTAACTTCATATTTCAGAGTCTGGAAAAAATAAAACAGCTATAATTGAAGAATTTGTTTAGTTTACTACCTTTTAGTATATAGCTGAGCTAATTCAACTAAGAGTGTTATTTATCTTAATATTCATTTTAGTTGTTCCCTGCTGGTCAGGTTCCCTAGACCTTCCCAGCTACACATAATTCTGATAATCTTTGGAAAATAAATGATTCCAGACCGGTCACATCCCAACCTACTGTTAGTCCAATATAATAGTATATATTGGATTATAAATCTATATAATCTCCCAGTGTGCTTTCATGAATGAAGCACGGCTGTGTCTGCAATGCAAAGGTTGAAGACCCTCTTACTCACATCACTTTGCAGCTGCATCATGTTTTTGGCCAGTTCGATGCTCATGGCATCGGGCAGGACATTGTAGGTGTGGATCAGGTTTTTGTAGTTGGCATTTGTAGCCACTTCCTGGGCTTTCTTGGCTGCCACCACACTGACCATGTCCACTGGGGTTTGGAAATTGGTCTTGGCCTTCTCATAATCCTTCTTGTACTCCCGATCCGACTGCATCTTGGCCACCTGCATGAAGTGCACCAGCTTGGGGTCGTCCTCGAGGCTGCGGAACCCGATGTGCTTCCCCTTGGCTTTCTCGTAGGCCAGTTTGTACTTGTACTGAGAAACAACAGCAAAAACTTCAATTCCAAACTGCACTGTTAAGCTCAGTCTTACCACTGAAAACATCACAGGGCCTCAGGTGTGGCCATTTAAACTGAATTCCAGTGAATGGCATCACCCAACTCACATCGCTGGCGATGTCTCGGGAGGCTTTGGCAGCTTTGATGGGGATGGCATCAGGCTGCAGGTCATAGCCCTTCTTCTTGTCCTCCTCCCAGCCAGCTTTGTAGAGTTTCTAATGCCAAATATAAAAGAGAACAAGCATTATAAAGGCAGAACTACTGAGGTGCCCTACATCTGAATTTAAATAGTTTTTAAAAAGACATTAAAATGACACTGATTTTTGATCTCAGTGCCCAGCACGAGCACAGGAACTCACATCACTCATGGTGAGCTGGTTCACTTTACACTGCAGGATTTCTGGGGTGTCTGGCATAACGTGGATGGTGGTCTTCTCTTTGTTCCATTTATCTGTGTAGAGCCTCTGCAATGAAAAAGTCACCTTTAGCATTGAAAAGGTACTGAACTCTTATTTAATCAATTTGTTTTTGTTTTGCTCATTTGCAATAATTAATATTTTATAGAAAGTCCCATAAGCATCATAAATAACCTTCACAAATATGAGTGCTGAGGGACAATGTAATCTCCCTCCTTTCTTTAGTACTTTGAGAAATTTGTAAAGTATGTTTTGAGAACTAATAAATATTCAAAATGGAAATTCTTCCCTGCTTTAGAATGGAATGAATGATTTTTATTTCCCAGACACTTTTTCCATGGTAGACACGGAATAAGGATCAGTGGTGTCCCAGATAACTATGGATAAATGTAAAGAACTCCACTTTTCAAGGAAAATTGTACAAAACTGAGAGAATTTCAGGGGTTTTTCAGCTCACTGATTATTAAAACTTTCTACAGAAAAAAGCCAAGGTTACTAAAGCACTTTAAATTGTGAGAAGACATCTTTAATCACATACACAAACAAGAAATCTTTATAAACAGATGAGGAAACTCCCTTAATTATGAACAGTCTGGGGCTTCCATGACCTCTCAGTGTCCAGTCTTAACCAACCAACCACTACACCCACTGGAAACTTTAACAATTTCAGTGAGAATGCACAACTTTTCAAGCCAAAGCCCCAAACTCTGGCTCATCCATGATCACCTGAACAACTTCTCACCTTGTTCATGGTCTTGGCATTTTGCTTGGCGAGCACTTGCTCCATGGCATCCATGGGGATGGAGAACTTCAGCTGGTCGGGGTGTTGCCTGTACTTCTTCTCACTGAGGATCTCTGTGGCTTTTTTGGCCTTTTCTACCTCCAGGGACTGGATTGGTACCCAGCCAACTCCTCTCAACCAGTTATTGAAGTCAGACTTGTACAAATTCTTTTAAAAAGTAAACAAGGAAACACAGTGAGGAAAAGAAAACGACATTGTCATTACACAGAGACACAGGTAAGGCCTTAAAACTTCTCCTGGTCATTCATTTTTGGGGGAAATTTAGACCTAAATAAAACTTAAATATAATAAAGTCAGTATTTAGACCCCATACATAACCTATGATGTCTGATAGGACAAATAATAATCACAGTAATAACACATTATAATTATAAAATGACACGAATTTGCTGGGAATTGGAAAATATGTAGAGATATAAAGAAAGTTGTTACTCACTAGATAAGTTCCCTAGAGCTTATCAGCTACACATAATTCTGATAATCTTTGGAAAATAAATGGTTCCAGACCAGTCACCTACATCCCAATCTACTGTTAACCCAATATAATATATATTGGATTATATAAGTGAATTTTTTTAGTCTTAAAAGGTTAATAGTGCAACACATTCATTATGAGAAGAAAACAATGAGCTGATTAATGATTACATACATCACTCTGAAGCTGCATCACGTTCCTTGAGAGCTCCAGGTTGACAGCATCAGGCAGGAGGGTGTAATTGTGGATTGGCTGCTTATAGCCCATGTTTGTAACCACTTCCTGGGCCTTCTTGGCCGCTGTCACACTGAACATGTCCAGGGGAGTGTGGTATTTGGTCTTGGTGACCTCATAGTCCTTCTTGTACTCACGGTCCGACTGGATTTTGGCCACGTTCATGTAATGAACGAGTTTGGGGTCGTCCTGGAGGCTGCGGTACCCGACCTGTTTGCCTTTGTCCTTCTCGTAGGATTCCTTGTACTTGTACTGCAGACACAGGAAAAGAGAGGTTTGCCCACTTGGGAAAGAGGAAACACACTTTTGATGATTTTTAAAATACTGAGTTGCAAAGTATCAACCATTGCAGTTCATTCTACAACCTCATAAATTGTATCTCCATGCCCTCCCTCACCATTGTCACTGACACATGATATTCCACTGCCATGGACTTCTAACCCCCAGGGACATTCAGCTTTTAATTAAGATATTACATAAACTATGATCTAATAATAATATAATAATAAAACAACAATATAATACAATATAAACTATAATAATAAATTTTTGAACTCCCTCACCAAACAATCAGATACCCCAATATTCAATTGGGATGTTCAAGAGGGAGGTAGAAGAGTCACTTGCAACCTTTTACTAAAGCAGAAGGACAGGTCTCCAGCAATTAAGAACAGAGCATAGGTTAATAATAATACTACTACTAATAATAATAATTAAATAAATAAATAAATAAATAAATATATAAATAAATAAATAAAGTTTTAAATGAGCTGGTGAATCCTTGAAGCAGACAATATGCAACAGAAAGTTGCAATGCTGTGAATGACACTCACATCACTTGCAATATTCCGAGAGGCTTTAGCTGCAATAATGGGAATGGCATCTGGTTTCAGGTCATATCCTTTGGCAAGAGTTTTCTTCCAGTCTGCTTTGTAGTTAGCCTTGGAGGGGAAAAAAGAGAGGAATTCACAAGGTCAGGAGCAGCAATTTTAACCAAGTGTTTAAGCCATTATTTTTTATTACAGTTACGGAATCAAAATATTCAATTTACTCAGAAATTTCAAGGAAAAACGTTCATCTGCACAAAAACTGCAGTTCTATTTGAATAAATATATCTGCTACAAAGACAATCATTAACTCCACAAGCATTTTTGGCAATTTTTATTTAGAACAACTCCATCAGTGGCATTTTTGCCGTTGATTAAGCAAAGTCCTTTTTCATTTGACTGAACCTTCAGAAATTTTTTTCCTGTCAGCTCCAAACACAGCCCTTGTGGTGTGAAATGACTGAAGAAAGCAGTCTGGCTGATTTTTTATTATCAGTTTGGACAGAATATTTGCATTTCAAGGCTATTAAAGGCGATAGCAGCTTTTATCGAGCTCCTGGAAGGTCGATAATGCCACCAAAAATTTAATATCATAAAGGCAATACAATTGATATTGTCAGTGGAGATTTTTATGGTGTTGGATGGATGTAAGTAGGGAGGGAAAGCAGGCAGACTGGCAGCTGAATGGCAGGAAAAAGCATTCTTATCTTCCCAGTGGAATTCCCCTTTGAAAGCCCAGAAGCAGGAACACACAGAGACCTTGTACTGCTTGCCCATGTAATGGTTTATATAAAAATAAATTATATAAGTTTCCAAAAGTATAGGAATCTGAATAATGTCATGCTGGTTTTCTCATTCAGTTTATAGCAGTAAAGCACTGAAATGTCTTTATGCTCATGAGTGCTCAAACAGCTTAAAAATTTGCTTAACAAGCACAAAAGCAAAAGTTTAGCTGAATTCAGAGCTTGGGCATTTGGGATAGGAGAGGAACAGCACCACTTTTCAGATCACATCCCCTTGCTTTGAATTCTTCCAATCCCATTTTGCAACAGTTCTCGAAGAAAAGGTGAACTTAACAGAAACTTCATTTGGATCAAGAGCTCTGAATTCCAAATATACTCACATCACTAATGTTGTAGGCATTAACTCTGGCCTGTATGAAATGGGGCACATCAGGAGGGAGGTGGTACTTGTGAATTATTTCTTCACCTTTGGATTTATACAATATCTGCCAAGAAATATAAAGAAAGAAATATAGCAGCCCAAAATTGAATTGTACATTTAAAAACTATTTAAAAAAGATGTGATTTTCAGGTGATTTTCCACTGGAACTGTGAATATACACACACAGTCACCTAGACATTTATTTCAGGAGTTCTCTTAAAGCTGGCTGATGAAGGGAGAGAGGGCAGAAATTGGTAATGTTTGCTAAGTTTACTTACATCACTCAGCTGTTTGCTGTTGATCTCTGCTTGCTTCTGGACTGGAGAGTCAGTGACTGCAGTGAATTTGATTTGATCAGGATGCTTTTTGTAGGTGTGCTGAAGGAAGATAAAAAATACATTGACAGAAGAGGCATAAAAAGTATTTTCCAAGTATTGATAAAGTAAATAAAATTATGAATAAAGTAACTTAAGTACTGTCAAAGGATTAATTTTAAAATACATTAAGTAGGTGAATGCTTGAGGTTCATTCTTCATTTTGGTACTATTCCTTTAATTTTACTTATTAAAAAAGGGATTGTGCAATATCTGTCTCGATCACTAGATGTCACAAAAGGCTCTAAAACAGGGATGAAGGTTTTTAAAAGTCGCTTAATCTCATCAAGCCAAATTCAAAAGCACTGAAGTCAAGAGGAATCACTCAGGTAATTTCTACTCCTGTTCTTTACTTACGTCTTTGCATTGCTCCAACTTCTTAATCGCTTCATACTCTTGAGTTATGGTCTGGGGGAAGTAGCATTTTGTCTTTTCCTCCTCATAATCTGCTTTGTAGTTTTTCTAGGAGCAAAATCAACATTCAGTAAGAAACCACAACTGAGCTTTCTCTGAAATGAAGGTGTGGTGGGGAAAACAGGACAACAGCCACACTCACGTCGCTCTTCATAGCTTCGACTTGCATGCAGTGCGTGTGATGTGGGTCCTCAAAGCTGCCCAAATAGTGCCCCAAAATATTCTTTTGATAGGCCTCCTTGTATTTCACCTGGAAAAACAACCCTGAGTTGATAAACAAAAGCAATTCAGAGGGTCAGGACTGAAGGACACAACATAAATCAAATACGTACGTCGCTGAAATTCTTCAGAGCAGCATCGGTCTGGAACTTGGGGGTGTCACAGTAATTCATCTTGTTGCCTTTTGACTGTTCATAGGCTTCTTTGTATAATTTCTGCAAGAGAAAATAAGGTCAGATAACGCAGGAGATTTCACTGCAACTCACCCACAGCACGTTAAAAATTGCAAGAGGAAAACTGAGAAATGGTTGCAAAGAAAAGATTTCCCACGGGAGTGAGAAAGAGATGGCACTATTTTCCCGAAGATTTTTTAAAGTAACTTTTTTTTAGGTTTGTAAGGGAAGCCAGAAAAGTTTGACTAATGCTTTCTGAAGTTCTGATGCTGAAAAATATGTAATCTCTTTCCATGCAGATGAAAACAGCAAGAGGAGAGAAATTGAGAAGGTCACTACAGTGAATGACCAGAATACAACATATGTAAAAGTACCACATATTTTATCATGATTGTATCAGTTGAAATTCCTTAAACCAGTAAGGGAAGAACTGCCCTCTTGTGATCCATTATCCACAAGGATCTAAATGAATCATAAAATAACTAGCTATCCACATGCCACTGCTACAGCCCCACTCATCCATGGAGAAATGACTCTTTATTTGACCCATTCTGGTTGGGGGCACCTCATGACAAATACAAATACAAATACAAAAGTAAAAATAGTAAGAGATGCAAAGGAGAGGCCTTGGGAAGAAATGAAGAGTTTGGTTTCTTGGACATGACTGAAACTCATGATACTTACATCACTCAGAATATTGCCTGCAGTTTTTAATTGCTTCAGCAATGGGTTCTCCGTAGCAGGAAGCACATTATAATCTGCAATGGCTTTCTTCTTTTCATAGTCTGCTCTGTATTTCACCTTGAAAAAATAAAAACAAAAAGGGCAGGGTTTGAAAAATCACTATTAAAACCCAAATGTTCACTAATCTGTAAAATTGCCCAGAGAAGCTGTGGTTGCCCCATCCCTGGAAGTGTCCAAGGCCAGGTTGGACAGGGCTTGGAGCAACCTGGGCTGGTGGAAGGCATCGAGGCTGGAACAAGATGGGCTTTAAGGTCCCTTCCAGCCCAACCCAGTGTGGGATATGATTCTGATTTATGCTATAATCTTGAATTTTTCAGGAAAAATGCCCCTGTTACATAACTTCCCATTCATGGTGGCAAAGGACCATGAAAGGTCCTGACAAAACAGTTTCAGCACCAGCTTGTCTGACTGTGGGACTGTTCTCAAGCTGAGCAAATGGCACACCCAGAGCTCACCTTACTGACATTCTCTGAAGCTTTCTTATTGGCTTCATACTCTGGGGTTTCAGTCTGCATGAAGTAGATTTGGTCTTTCATGTTTTCAAAGTCTTCCTGGTACTTTCTCTGTTGGGAACAGAGACAGACAGAAAACAACGTATCAAATGCACTTACTTTACAATCAGACATCCACAGAGTGGCTTATTTTGGAAAGGAGAAATATCACAAGAGGAGCAGGCAAATTATATCAGTATTTTCCATGTTAACACAGACAGAGGATAAAGCTGTTCAAGATTTCCTGAAGAATCCACTCACCATACTTAGGTTTTCTGCATTCATTTTTGCAATGGCCACGTCATAGCACGGAGTTTGACTCCACTTGCCTTTGATTTTGTTTTTATAGTCCTCATGGTAATTAATCTATAAGGAAATAAAACAATCAAATTTAATCCCCAAGACACAGATCCATTTTCACTTTTCACAGCTGTATTTTTAAAGTTGCTTCACATTTTCCATCTGCCTTCTAAACACTTCAATAGCTATTGTCAAAAACACTTTAAACATGATTTGGCCAAACCACTTCAGTGTTCAGTTATTGCTCTTAGTTCCTCCCCTGACCTAAAAAGGGTAAATAGGTGGCACAAATAATCTCTTTTTGAACAAAGTTATTAATAAGAAAATCTCTCTGTGATACTTCACTAACACATTCCTTTAGTTCTGTTTTCTCACTGCTCACATAATACTGGGACATAGTATTGCCCATTAGTTAAGTAGGAATTTACTGTTATTGCTGTTTATTATTTTATTAATTTCAAATAATTCTGATACTGATCTTGAGCTTTACATGTTACAAAATCTTCTTGATGACAATTTACCTTTTAAACTGTGGAATTGTAAGATTACACAAGTTTTCTCTAAACAAAATTATTTCACCTTCCAAATGGGTTCAGTATAATATTTTATGAGTGGTTCTGCAACCAGAAGTGAACAGTGTAACTCTCGAATCTTAAGCAGTAGATAATGTTCAATACACAATAAAATAAATAAAATAAAATCATGTTTCTCCTAAATTCTGAGCTGAGTTAAAATCCTACTTCTGCCTTACAAGATTATACAACTTGGTTCCAGTTTCTTCAGCAAATTTGGTCTTCCTGCATATCTTTTCTTTCTCTTTTTCTTTCTTTAGGTGCCTTTTTGCCTCTCTAACTCCCAAAATGAGGTTTCTACGGGAAAAGCCACTGCATCCCACTCACATTGCTCAGCTGCCTTGTCACCTTCTTGGCCAGTTCCACATCAGGGGGATCTGGCAGGGAGGTAAATTTGGCTTTCTGCTCGTCGTGCCCTTTTTTGTAGACAATCTGAAAACAGGGAAGAAACAGAGATTTCCAGTAACTGCCAAGTTGAACATCAGAACATTCAGCTCTGCTCCCACCCCATGAACTGCAGCAGTTCTGCCCACAGCCACTGCAGCAGGAACCCTCTCAATCAGTGTGTTACCAGTGAACATCTGCAAAATTCACTGAAATCTTGACCTGAAACCCCCGACTGGAGAGTTCCAGGTATCCAAATATCAGCAAATCCCACAGCCCTGCCAATTCCTGACTTTGCTTATCGCTGCTCTAGAGACAGATTTACAGACCCACAACAGAATCAGAGCCAACCCTGGGAGGGAGTTTCTCCATTTGGAGAGATACTCGAGGTCTTCTCACTGATTATGAAAGATCAGAAGACCTTGAAATCATTTTATTCCAATATTTAATTTCAAATATTATAAAACTACAGCGTAGAATAGAAATAATCTGCCAAGTTATGCCAGAACCCAACTGTGTTTGGTACTCACATCACTCAGAGCTTTCTGAGCCTGTGCCACCCTCCTGAGCTCTGGGCTGTCGTTGTAGGGATAAAACAGAGTTTTGTCTCCTTCCCACTCCTCAGTGTAGAGTTTCTGAAGCCCAGAAAAACACCAGAATGCTCATTATGAATTAATCTGTGCCTTGGAAAGCTTCTCTCACTTCAGCTGCTTAGAGCTGGGATTGTTTTCTCTTACCTTGCTGAACAGTGCTGTGTTTTTTATTGCATTCACAAGCTCTGGAGCATCAGGGGGCAGCAGGTACTTGTCCTTATTCTCCTCCCAGTTCTGTTTATATAATACCTGGAAGGAAAGATCAGCAAGTCGGTCACTCAATCACTAGAAAAATATTTACTTTTGCGAATATTGTGTAAATATTGTGAATAAACTCTTGAGATTATTTCAAAGTGAAAGCCTCAGTCCAGTGGCATTTGAAGGCAGCAAATGGAAACATTTAAGATTGTATTTATATTTATAAGATATATTTATACCAACTTCTCTGCTGTCCCTCCCTGTGCCTCTAAATTGTTGTATAAACATTGCTTTAGCTCAGAACTTTAATCATATCAGCAACTTCATGATCCACAGATCAAACCCACTCACCTTGCTCACTTGCTGGGACACTTTCTTGGCATGTTCTATATCCATGGCCTTTTCATCCACGTGGCAAATAGTCCTGGCAGTTTGCCCAGCCATGCGGTATTTAACCTGGAGGGCCCAGAAATTCATTTATTCTACAGCAAAACTGCTTTTTTTCTCATAAAGAAAATCAGAATATTGATGTTTTGACACTTCATGCTGTGAACATCCAAAACCTGAACTGACCCAGAAATGAAGCCTATGGAAACCAATGGATTTGGGGAATCAACTGAGGAAGAAATGCAGCTTTGAGAGAGGTTCAAGAGATGGGATTCCAAGCTAGAGCACTTCCACTCTGTACAATGAGAGGTCCATCCCCAGGATATGCAGTGTAGCTCCATTTCCCAGTCCATTCCCACGTAAACACTGGCTGTAGTGCCAAACCAACATAGTCACATTCCCATGGCAAAACAGCAGCTTGGCTGGAATTATCACTTCTTATCCAACACTCAAAATTCAGACTTAATTTGCTTCTTAATTACTCACTAAACATTGCTTTCTCATGCAGTTGCCACCCACCTCACTGAGCTGGTCCTGCACTTTCTTGATCCTGCGAATTTCTGGGGTATCAACTGTGGAAGCATAAGGCTTTCCTCTCTCTTTTCTAAATTTTTCTTTGTACTTGTTCTGGAAGAGAACAATGACAAAACCAAATAAGACACAGCCTAAAACTCTGACAGAAATCTATTGGCAATTATTGCCACATTTATCTGGTTAGGAGAAGAATTTGGGGTGATTATTTAATAATAGAAATGAGCATTACTCAATTACATTTGCAGTTGTGCTTATTTTAACCAACTGACTTTATTCCATCTGACACAACAGGAAAAAAATCCATCTCTAACTTCAGTCTGGTTTGGATCACCTTTAATTGATTATATTCTCCTATAATATCCTACTGATATTATAAAATCAATATTGATATTATAATATCAATATTAAGCTACTACTACTAATGATATATAATACATAAAATTTATATATATAATTGATATATAAAATCTATAATTGATATTAATATATATCCATTCTTGTATAATAATTAAGACTTGACTATTGATATTATTATGATATTAAGTAAAAAATTAAAAATAAATTTAGTCTTTTGCAACGTAATAATCAGATAATCCCTATCAAATCTTCTCAAGGTGTTCCTCAAGAAATAAAAGACGTGGGACAATCTTACCTCACTGAATAGGTCCTTCATTTTGTTGCTGTGTTCCAGGTAAGGCGTCAAAAACTTGGATGGGTCCACTTTTGTCCGGATTGTCTTTGTCCTGGCTGGAGGTGCTGCATCCTCCCCAGAAGGTTTGTCCTGCTCCACACTGTAGGTGGTTGTGGTAGTTTCAGGACCTGTGAAATCTGTGCTGACGGTCTCAGTGATCTCAGTGACCACCTGGGAATGAAGAAATCAAAATAATTACTTGCTTTATAGCTGTAAAAATTCGTTATTATAAGTATTTTTCACCTCCCTGAGTGAGTAAAAGGGTGCTCAGCTTATCCAGATCCACCTGGAGACAAAAAAACAGCGACACTTTTCCTGCTGGGATTATCCATTATTCCTACTATACATCACCCAACCTAAAAAAGCCACAAGGAATTAAATGTCTGGCTGGTTTCTGTATCAAACTCATGTAATTATTCACCAGAGGATCTGGAAGCTGCCTCTGCTTAATATGTATAATTCCCAATGAATTTAAATAGTTCATATTCCTGTTTATCAACAGATAAACATTATTACGGTCTGCAAGCAATAATTTTAACACTATGGTTCTAATGAAAAGCAATTAAAATAATTATTACGACTTAAAAACGTGCTCCAAAATCACCTGAATAAGAGTCAGATTTTATTTAATATAAAATTTTTTATAAAAAAAATTGACTTTAAGGTCAGATTTCTGATAGCTGTTTGCAGCAGTATGAGACAGAACTGAAAATACGTCAAGAATTGAACATTTAATAGCTTTGGTTCCTGCACAAGCCTATGCCATAAAGAATATTTCATGGTAACATAGGAGAGAGTTGAGATATATCTATTTTATAAATAGAATTTCAAATTGTGGCAACAAATCCTTGGTGACCTAAATATTTGTTACCAGTGACATGACGAGAAACCTGCAAACCATCAGGTTTTTTGGGAAATTGCACAAGGTGAAGGGAACAGAATTGATACATCTAAAGTGGTCCTCTAGATCATCCCAGAGCAGAGGAAATAAAGTATTAAACAGCAACTCTTCGGTGCTATTTGTGAGTTTAATGTGAAAAATTAAACCTCAGAATACAAAAAGGCTACTAATTTAGAGTTACACATTAATTACATGCATATAGACACGATATGAATAATGACAGGGACCTTTACCTCATGTGGCTCACCCTCCTCAACAACTGTCTCCTCAATGTAGTACTATTAAAAAAAAAAAAAAAAGGAAAAAAAATCATTGTTAGGTCAGATTAGCAAATTGTAGCTTCTGTGAAGCTGTTTTAAAACCACACTTCTGGAGGAACAGGGCTGTAGTTCACAGGTACTGATGGAGTAATTCTGAATATCCATTCATTTTTTGCATTAATGACTGGATGTTTTCCATACATTCCTCAGCTAATTATCGTCCAAGTAATTAATGAAGGATCGTTATCTAATTTTACCCACAAGAGGGAAGGCAATGATGACCACACTAAAAGAATCAGCATTTAAACCCCAGGATTTTCCAAGTGTTTGGTGATGCTCTGAGGGGGCTGTAGTAGGTTTCTCTAATCCTGTCCTTGGAGTTGTTCCTACCTACAGATCCCTGAAGGACACCAATAATTACTGGCTGCCAGTTAAGCTTTGTCCTACTGATCTCAACTCTGAGCCTGCTGATTTTCCACCCACTTTATTGTCCTCTATTTACCCCACATCTCATGAACTTGGCGATACAAAGAGGTCTCCCTGAAGCAGTCAAGATACACAACCTTCACTGCTCTCCCCTTGTCCACAGCAGCTGTGAACTCATTATAAACACTAATGAGATGGGTCAGCCATTGTTTTGCCCTTGATAATTCAATGTTTACTGCTCCTCATGACCTTCATGTCTTTCGTGTTTTTAGAAATAGCTTCTCAAATTATTTTCTCCACGGCCTTCCCAAAGAATGAAGTGAGGTTGACCAGCCTGTAATTCTCTGGATCTTCCTCCTTGCCTTTCTTGAACACCACGTTGAAAGAATGGAGTTTGCAATGTTTTAAGTCTTTATGTACTGATCCTGCTTCCACCTTCAGTATATTTCTTTTTTCTGTGATTTTGCTCAGTCCGGGGCTCCGTGTTCCTCCACACCAGCCTCCTGCTGTGTTTGATTTCTGCACTTTGGATTGAAAGATGTGCTCTGAGAAAACCGTTCTAGAAGGTCGCTCAACTCCCCTGGGCCCCACAGGATCTTCCCTGCACAGCCCCAAATCTGTCCTTCTGAAGTTTGGGATTGTGATTCTGTTTAATTTCCTCACTGTTCTCTGAATCTTCAGCTCCGCAGTCCTGTGGTCACAGCAGCCATGGCTGCCCTTGACCTTGGCATCTTCCACCACTTCTTGCTTGGTTGTGAGTAGCAGGTTCCATGGAACATCTCTCCTAGTCGGGAAACGGAGCTGGGGAAGGGTCTGGAGCAGCAGGAGGGGCTGAGGGAGCTGAGGGGGCTCAGCCTGGAGAAAAGGAGGCTCAGGGGGGACCTTCTGGCTCTGCAACCCCCTGACAGGAGGGGGGAGCAAGATGGAGGTTGGCTCTGCTCCCAGAGAACAATGGACAGCACGATAGGAAACAGCCTCTGGTTGTGCCAGGGGACGTTCAGATTGGATTTTGGGAAACATTTATTCACTGAAAGAGTGGTTAAGCCTTGAACGGGCTGCTCAGGCAGGTGGTGGAGTCACCGTCCCTGCAAGCGTTCGAAGAACGAGTAGACGTGGTACTTTACAACACGGTTTGGCGGGCACGGGGATGGACTTGATGACCTTGGTGGTGTTTTCCAGCGTTAATAACTCCGCAATTCTCCATCCTTAGGCTCGCCCTCCATCGCCACCGAAGGGAACCACGAGCCGCCATTTCCAGACGCGGCCGCGCGATGGCGCCGTCGGGCGGCAAATGGCGGCCGCGCTGAGGGGCCGCGCACGGCCCGGGGCTTCGCCCTCAGACACCTCCGCTCTCAAACGTCTCCGCTCGCTGCCAGTTGAGGGAAAAAAGCATTTACGGACATTGCCCCACCCGCTGTAGTAACCGGCAGGGATTGTATCCATGAGGTGCCGAACTGCCAGAAAGGAGAAAATGTAAAACGTGGGGTTCGTGTTTGGAATCCTCCTCGGCGATACCTGCTCGGGGTCTCATGCCAAAAACTGCAGCAGCAAAAAGCCCTTTGAATCGAGACCTAAAAAAAATTCTCATTGAAATTTAAGCCCTTTCGCCAGAGCTGTTCCTCAAAGTTATTTGATGCGACCGGCTCGTACTTCCCATCCTGGGATATATTGGGTTGTTTTGGGGCAATTTCTGCTCTCTTGCCGTGCCGGACCCACCTTCCAAAAACTTTCCACAAACCTTCTGCAAAATCTTCCACCAAACCTTCTGCAAAACCTTCCACCTTACCTTCCGCGAAACCTTCCACAAACCTTCTGCAAAATCTTCCACCAAACCTTCTGCAAAATCTTCCACCAAACCTTCCACCAAACCTTCTGCAAAATCTTCCACAAAACCTTCCACAACACTTTCCTCAATCCTTCCACAACACCTCAAGTAACTCAGCAGCAAAAGTTTGTGTCATTCCCATCACAAAACAGCTACAATGTCAAGTACGGGTTAGTAATTCCCGAGAAATTAAAAAAAATAGTATCTTAAAATCCTCAGCCTTGCCTCAGCTACTCAATATTCAACCACCATCTTCTGTTCTTTCAGAAGATGAATTTCTGATAGGACTCTTGGAGGTTTAAAATCATGGATACATATAAAAGTGGGCTTTTGGTTAAGAAAACTCTGGAAAGGTTTAATCTGCCTTAAAATTGCACCAAATGCTGTTGTTCCTCTTTTATGTAACTTCTTACCTTCCCCTGAGGGAAGCTACTAAAGCAGTGCCACCTTGGTCTGTCTGAGGGATGTAGTTGCACCAAGGTGGTCACTGAAAATTAAAAACAAAGGATGAAATGGGGCTGTGTGAACAGAAAGCCCAACATAACATGATTCCAGCTGGAATAAATAAACTTTGACAGCAAATAAATACCTGTTACCGAGAGCACACAACGCTCAGGAAACACAAAGCCAATTATAAGTGCTAATAGGAAATTTAACGAAGGCTGGTGTTCTGTAACTAGGTGGTACAATGCCTTTAAATGGACTTTATGAGTGGTAACTCTTTATTTTCCAAAACATATTTAACTAATCCATTTGGCTTTACTTCATTCACTGTTTGAAATTTTTAAAGTCCGCAGCCAGGGCTCGGTGCCCTTGCATCACCTAAAATCAACAGCTCACTAAGCACAGTGTGGTGACAATGAGTTGTGAGATGTCTGCGTTTATACTCTTCTTCTTTTCCTCAAACACTGAGCAACTTGCTACAATAATTTATGTATTTAATGACACATAATTTAATTTCAGAATAGCAATAATGCAACAGGTAAGACCACTCTGTTGACCTCAGGGACTGTTCCCGTGGCATTTGCTCATAATCCTAAAATGTAGAGTCCCCAGTTCCTGGGGATTCTTTTAACTGAACTCTCAGTTTAAATGACCTCTAGGGAAATTAATCCCTGATGGAACTCCACAGACAAAGAATCAAGGAACCACGGAGTGGTTTGGATTGGAAGGGACCTTTAAGCCCATCTTGTTCAAACCCCGACACCTTCCACTATCCAGGTTGCTCCAAGCCCATGCAGCCTGGCCTTGGACACTTCCAGGGATCCAGGGGCAGCCACAGCTTCTCTGGGCAACCTGGGCCAGGGCCTCCCACCCTCACAGGGAAGAATTTTCCCCCAATATCCCACCTATCCCTGCCCTCTGGCAGTGGGAAGCCCTTCCCTGGTCCTGTCACTTAAATCTGGCTCCATCTCTGCGACTTCTACGGCTGAACCTGGTCATGGTCCCTTGGTGGCACAAACCTCCTGCCTTTCTGCATTGCAGGGGCACGGAGGCAAGGCTAGGAAGGGGCTTCCAAAGTCATCCTCTCCAGCATGGATTGGGTGACAGAGGGCAAGCCAGGAGGGAGAAGAGATGGCCCAGTGCATCTATAATTAAGCAGAAGAGTAATGAGGAAACCTTGTGCTGTGGGTGTGGGAGGGTTACAGTCCTTATTTAAACTCAGAAACTATGGCAGGAACCAGCAGACTTTGCTCTGCTGAGAGCAACTGTTGTTGTTTGTTGTTGGTTCTTTACTGATTAAGCCATTTAATAGATATCTAATCACCCCCTAATCTTCAGAGAGCAAACAGCCACCTATGCTCCTGAGCAGAGTCTCATTAAAGTGATTAATATATTCATTCACAAGGCAGGAAACAATTCTTTCTACTCTTAAGGTTTTTTTCTTACCTCCACAACTTCCTCATATTCTTCTTCCTCCATTCTGAGGGTTTTCTTCTGTCTCTCCCCCACTCACTGGTCATGTAACAAATAAAAATATGAATAAACAGGATTAGACCAAAAGCATCATGAAAAGTGACAAATCAAGCTCATAAAGCACCTGGGGTCATGGTTAGTAACTAGTCAGATCCTAAATAAAGCTGAGATCTGGCACTACTTTGATTATTATGGAAAAACATGGGATTAAGTTTCAAATATACTGATATAAGTTACAATTTTGGACAAATACTTCATTCCAATAGTTGTAACACCAATACTGGAATCCAATGAAAATAAAAAGAGATTTCTTGAAGTATGATTTGGGTTCTTTATTGCAACAGAATTATATGAAGCGTTTTTCTTTTCTCTGTGACTATTCTCTCCTCTTCTGTTATATTATTCAAGCTCCTGTTTGAATGGGAGCTTTATCTGTATATTCTGTGATATTCATTCATAAGTGAAAGCCTAATGTAGAAAAACATAATAAATATTTTTTTTAAGCATCTTTTGGTTAATGAGGCAATTTCTGTCTTCCCAGCATTAGCCTATATTGATTCTCTGGGAGGTTGGGTTTTTTTTTAAGCTCTTGTGGCTTTTTTCTCTCTGTTTCTTCAGACCTGCAAAAGATGAAATTCCACGGAGTTGGCTGAATTACAAAGCACAGATTACTGTCAAAAATTAATTAACACACCAATTTTGCTGCGAGGCAGAGCTACAATTTTCCAGCGGAGCCCGCAGCCCTGTTTCTAATGTTGGGAGGGGATGAGGCTTTGGAACAGCTGCTCCTGAGTCCAGGGATATTTGCCGTGTAAGCTAATCCTGCCAACTGCCCGTTGAGTTTAGCTGGTTACACTGCAATTCCTTCTGAGGCAAGGGAAGTCGAGTAACCCAGGTTAAATATAGGAACATGCAATACTGTCCCTTTTTAGTTCCAGTGAGGTGAGAAAAATTGCCAAAAAGTTAATTTGTTAAACCAGGTCATTAACTATTAAAATAAATCAAGAATAACTCCATTAATGGGCGGCAAGTTGCGTGAAAAAGTGGGCCAAAGTGAGTGATTAAAGCCAAGAAGTGGGGATTGCATATAAGGCTATAAACTGTAAAAACTATCACTGTTGTAACCTTCAGTTACACTCCCAAACACGATTCCAGGTGCTTTCCTCCTCCTGCAGCCTGCAGCTGGTTATCCAGGCAGAAGACTTGTCTTCCACGGGCAAGGCATGACAACTACTCCCAAAAAACCACCAACTGGGGAAACAGCTCAAGGTCCTGCTCTAAGGACAAGAAGTCAAAAACGATTAAAATGTTCTTACCAGCAACATCCAGCATATATCCTTTGGAGCAAAGCCTCTCCAGCCTTCCCTCCTGAGCAGCAGTGGGAGAGAGCGAGCGGGTGCAGCGGCTCCCGAGGACACGTGTGGCCAGCGCGGCCAATCCGGCCCCAGCCCGCTCCAGTTTCAGCCCTAAATATATTTGGTGACCCCGGAGCAGCCACCTGTTCCCAGCAGCAGGGATGGAAAGGGAGCTGGGCACCTCGGTGCTCGTGAGGAAACCAAAACACACCAGAGTTTGGCCTGGCTTCTCCAGGTCTCTGCTGAAATGGACCCCCCGGCAGACCAAGGGAACACTCCAATGGGAAAAACATGGGGTTTTCTTCCTTCAGAGTTGACAAGAACAAGGAGTTTGAGTTTATTTCATTCCGATATTGTACCTGAATCAAAACTGTCCCAATTCAAGAATCCCTGAACTTCAAATCAAGGAGTCTGGGCTGAGAACTAAATTTTCAGTATAAATACATCTTTAATTACAGCTTGTAAATTCACCTTTGTCAACTTGATGCAAATCACTTGTCAATATTTTTATCACTTTCAAAATGTTTCATAGCTGAAGACACGGACCCAGGAACATGGGAAAAGTTCTACTTGCATGGAAAAAACTTATAAGGAATCCAATTAACAGTCAGACCCACAGAATCACAGAACATGCTGAATTGGAAGGGACCCACAGGGATCATCCAGTCCAACCCTCAGCCCTGCACAGGACAGACCCAAGAGCCCCACCCTGTGCCCCAGGGGATCATCCAAACCCTCCTGGAGCTCTGGCAGCCTTGGGGCTGTGCCCACTGCCCTGGGGAGCCTGGGCAGTGCCCAACCACCCTCTGGGGGAAGAACCTTTGCCTGAGATCCAACCTGAGCCTGCCCTGACACAGCTCCAGCCATTCCCTGGGTGCTGTCCCTGGTCCCCCCAGAGCAGAGCTCAGTCCCTGCCCCTCCTCTGCCATTCCTGAGGGAGTTGGAACTGCAGTGAGGTCTCTCCTCAGTCTCCTCCAGCTGAACACTCCAAATGCCCTCAGTGTCATAAGTGTCCTAGAATCACAGAATCAGCTGGGTTGGAAGGGACCTCTGAGATCATCAAGTCCAACCCTTGATCCACTGCTGCCGTGGTTCCCAGCCCATGGCACTGATGCCACATCCAGTCTTGTCTTAAAAACCTCCAGGGATGGAGAATCCACCACTTCCCTGGGCAGCCCATTCCAATGCCTGATTACCCTTTCTGTAAAGAATTTCTGTCCTCACACAGCTTCAAATCAAGGCCCTTCCCCCTCCTCCTTGCCTCCTTTGGACGCTCTCTAATGGCTCAATACTTTCCTTACAACATTGTGTCCCCCCACCCTGCCCCAACGTTGCAGGTGAGGCCACCCCAGGGCCGAGCAAAGCGGGACAATCCCCTCCCTCACCCCGTGGTGTCCCCCAGGACACGGATGTCCCTCCTGGCTGCCAGGCACTGCTGGCTCATGGCCAACCTGCCATCGACCAAACACCTGGTGAGGAAGACTAAGAATACTTGATAAACAGATTGAGTGACAGGGGAGCAACCCTGGGGCACAGAGTAGTTTGGAAGGTCAGGAATGACGTGATGGATGGAGCAGAACCAGGGGGATGATAAGAGAAGTGGCCTCTTAGGTCACCCCATGGACTGACAATACAGGACTGGCTTTGGTTCTTCAAGGAGGTGCCTTTCAAAGCCAATATCAACAATGATCCCTTTCCATATACTAGGTCACATAATTCAATAAATAACTGTATGGGGCCCTTGGGAGGCATCTTCTTTTTCCTTAACTCTTTCCAGAAGTTCATATTTATATCCAGGTGAAATATCATCTCTCATTCCCTACTGCCAAGTATTTAATGCTCTGCACAGAGCTGCAGACCCTTCCCTTTCTCCACAGGCTCTCAATTACTCCACATTTTGCTTTCCTAGGCAACCCTTCCCCTTTTTATCTGATTTCTGTTTATTTAAAGGTTTCTTACATCTTTTGAAGATGTCCAGAAATTAATACATGTTGGTGGAGTCTCTCCAGGGCACTGTCAAGCTTGACCTGCTGCTCTCTGACCCAAATCCTCTGGGTGTGCATTCCAGAAATAACTCCCAGGCTCAATTTTTCTCCCAAGTGCTGCTTCTCAGTTGATTGGATGCAAAAAGTGACATTTTCATTAGCAAAACCAACCTTCATGGAGCGAAGGGCCAATTTTTCTTGAACGTGTAATTAATTATTGCCATTTCCAGCTCAAATCGTGGAAGTTCCTGCAGTAAATTTATCCCTCAATTACTGGAGCATCACCTTCAGCCTATTTTACGCTGCTGGTTGATAAATCTGATTTAGAAAGACACTGAACAAGGCCAAAATTCTATGCAGGATGCCAACACCCCTTTTCCTGCCACTGAAATGCAGCTGGTTTTGGTGTGAAACACGACAGATCTTCAGCAGCACAGCCCAGGGCTGGAAAAGAGCATGGAATAACCCACCAGAATTACAGATGGGCTTTAGGAACCAACAGCATTATTAGGGAAATGAAAAGTTGGGATGAATATAAGATTTTTGTTCTGACATCTGAAAGCAAAGAGGGGAGGAAGGTGCTCTTGAGTCACTTGAGGCTGCCAGAAAATCTTCCAATTCTGTGCTACTTCAACTCCAAATTTCAGGGAGCAGCTGTGACAAAACTATCACTACAAGCTCCATTCCTGTTTGAAACTGGAGGAGCCACCAAACCAAACCCAAACTCCACTGCACTTTCTGTGGTTTCTACTCAAGTCCACAATTGCCATTTACAGGTGAAAAATTCAGTGTTCACTTGCTCTATCTACATATAAAACATCCTGATAAATGGATCTTTGCACATCTACCTATATATAAGTTGTTATTTATATATATATATAAAAAACACACCTGAGGACATGCACACGTATCTTCACGTATGTCTTCACACTGGTCTTCACTGCAGAAATAAACTATTAATGCTCATTAATGCATTTTATATCATTCACTTTCAGGACTGTTAAACACCATAATTGAAATATGTTGCAAGTGTTGCATGGGGAAGGAGAATCCCAGAATTCCTGAGGCTGGAAAAGCCCATGGATCCCCCCTGTGCCCAATGCCCACTTGTCCCCCAGCCCAGAGCACTGAGTGCCACGTTCAGTCCTTCCTTGGACACCTCCAGGGCTGGGGACTCCACCACCCCAAACATGGATGAGGTAAAGGGAATGCTAATGGTTAATAAAAAGAAAATAAATGAAAGGAATATTAAGTTGCTTTGTTGTGGAAATTTGTGTCTGAGTCAGATTTCACGTCACCGTTCGATGGAACGTTCACAGAACCAGAAAATCATTGAGGCTGGAAAAGACCTCCAGCATCATCAAGTCCAACCTTTGCCTTTGCTCTGAGAATAGGAACTTGGCTTTCTGGGGGGACAAATATTCCCAAGGCATTAGGAAAACTCTGCTGTAGTGAGAACGTGGCAGATCTGACCCAGGTTAACTCACCAGGCCAGACTTTATCCCCGCTCCACAAACATCCACGTGCTCAGCAGTTCCGAGCTGCAAAGACAGAAAGCTGCAGGATGACTAAGGCAGAGGGAGATGCTGCTTTGCATTTCAATCAACCCCAGTTTGAAAGCAGAAAATATTTTCTTGTGCTTAAGTCATTTAAGTCTTGAGTTCGGTCAGTCCTCCTTATCCAACCTCTCACAACATCCTGACATCACAGGTGCTATATTTAACCTCCTGAGGTAACCACCTGGACTTAACAAGCATTTTAGCATTGAAAAAGGACATTTAAATACATATTTGTGTCACTGTGTCTATTTTTAACCCACCATCAGTAAGTTCCTTCTCCTTCTTTTTGCCATTCCCAACCGCGAGGCTTCGCTGCCCGTTTTGGTCTCACGGATAGAAACACTGTGGGGAGTATTTTTACCAAAAAAAGGCATATTTGCCAAAAAAATATGCAGTGAAAGGGCTTGGTTAGACAATGCAAGGGGTTGTCTTTAAATTAAATGTACATATACATATATATATATATATATATTTGTCTGAGCCCTCCTTTTACAGCTGGAAGGATGTTAAGCCAGTCTTTTTTATTCTGGATCAAACCAGGCCTTGTCAGGGATTGGGCCTTGGCTTATGAAGGAAAAGGGTTTTTTAGAAGATAAAAGCTGAATTCCACTTTTTACTTCAGTGCTGCTTATCCTCTTTCTCAAAGTATTAATAGAAAGCATTAGATCATAACAAATAACTATCTTGGAGGCAACGCCATCAAAATCCTGCGATTAAATCACCTACATGTCTTATTTTCAGGTCTATTTTTTGACCCTGACATGTTGATACGGGGTGAGTAGCAGCACAAGGTAGTAGCTGCATGGTGTGTAAACCAACCACTTACTCCCCTGCCATGAGTCAAAAAGACTGTGCTGGAAGAGGGGGATTTAAAGGAATACTGGTATGAAACCAAAATTCATTTCACGCTTCTTCCCCATGTTTCTGGACAGAGAAGGAACTGTCGCCTCGCTCATCAAATTATTTGGGTTATATAGATTATAGGACTGAAGGTTTTAGTATGGAAAGTGTTCAACCAGGATATTTCAAAGACTGAATCCTCGAGAGAAGATTCCAAGGAGGGAAAAAAAAAATCCAAATAAATCCAAACTGAAAAGAACAGGAACAAGATGCCAAATATCTGTGAATTTCTTTTCACGGTGAGATATGATGAAGCAAAGAGAAATCACATGAAGAAATGCACCTCAACCTGACTCCAGCTAGTTGTAGAAACCTAAAAATGAGGTTAATATTTAATTAAAATTAATTTTAATTAATAAAATTAAAATCCCAGTAAAAGATCCCCTGTGTTGACACAAGATATTCAATGTGGCCATTGGCACGAAGGGTCGTTCTCCTCACATGACAGATCTGTCACAGCCTCCCCTGTGCTTTACTTAGGTCCTTTGAGAATCCCAAAAGAAAATATTTACCAACAGCATGATGTCAAACAGCCTTATTTATCTCCCCCACTAATGTTCCCAGGACAGCAGCAGGAGTTGGACACAGGCACTGAGCAGCAAAGGGGATAAACCAAAGAAAGGGTCCTCAAGAATTCAAAGCCAGCTCTGATTGTCTTGACCCAAATTCCTAATGGGAGCTGATGTGGGAATCTGAGATACAGCATCCAGCTCTCATCTGCAACTCAAAATCTTCAGGTATTGGAACAATAATTGAAGTTAGTAGAAACTAGGAAAGGAAGGTGAAGTTCTTCTCAAATCTTTTCTCCTTCCTGCTGTTTGTAAGATAAATAAACCTTCATATTTTCAGAACATGCCTCGACTTTCCAAACCTACAAGTTTCCCTAGACCTGCATCCTTCTCCCTGAACTCAGCTGAGCCTTGCAGGGAATTTGGAGCAGTTGTTTTTTTATGGATCTGAGCTGAAACAATTTATTGGGAAGACATAAGCCACTCCAAGTTCCTTTCTATTCCAGACCACCCTCAGGGCACTTTGTAAGTGCTCACGTTTCTAACAAAGCTTGGCAGCAGGAAGGTCTCACGTGGCATTGTACAGCTCTGCCAACTTTCCACATCACCCCAACAAAGGGATGGATTAACACAGCTGTAACATGGAGCCATTCCCTGCTGTAAATCCTCTGGGATGAAGGGACAGGGCTGAACATTCCCTTTGAAACCACAATCAGTGCATCACCTGAATTCTGCAACCAGCTCTGCTGCCTTTTTCCGTTCAAAAACTGCCCTGATGTTGCTGAAGAATATTCATGCCCTGCATGAGAACAGGGGGAAGAAATCAAATATTCACTACTTAGCCCTCCATGCCTTTTTCCCCCAAGGACCTGCTTTCTTCCCAAAAGGGAAGAGAATAACAGAATCCCAGAATTGTTAGGGTTGGGAGGGGGACCATCCAGTCCAACCCCCTGCCAAGGCAGGGTCACCTGGAGCAGGTGACACAGGAACACACCCAGGTGAGTCCAGTTTCCAGGCTCCACACCCTCCCTGGGCAGCTCTTCCAGGGCTCTGCCACCCTCATGGAAAGAAGTTCTTCCTCGTGTAGAGGTGGAATTTATCGTGGTTTAGTTTATGGCCACTGCTCCTTGTCCTGTGACTGGGCACCACTGAAAAGTCTGGCATCACCCTCTTGGCACCCCTTGGAGATATTTATATGCCTTGATGTTGTCCTTGATTCTCCAGGCTAACCAGGCCCAGCTCCCTCAGTCTCTCCTCCTCACAGAGATGGTCCAGACCCTCATCATCTCTGTGGCCTCTGCTGGACCCTCTCCCTGCCTTTCCTATCCTGAGGAGCCCAGAACAAACTCTGAACAGGAATTGAGTGATTGAGGTAACGCTCCCTTTCACTTCGCTTGGGCAAAAGAAGAAAAGAACTATCAGTCTTCCCCCTTCCAAGGCTTTGCAAATTACTGCAGGGTTTATTTGGAGCTTCTGGTAAAATGGCCTCATGCTCTGCCTCTGGACCCCTCTGACTTCCCTGTAGTTCCTGCAGTCAGGGGAAAAGCAAATGTGCAATTCCTGACTGGCACCAGCTTGTCCAAAGATCACAAAAGCTGCTGTGAAAGCAGGTCAGGATTTAGATCAAGAATCTACTCAAGGAATCCCAGAATAACTAAATCTTCCCACCAATACACAGTTCCTGCACCGTTAGCCCTCTCATCCTGCAGGATGCCAAGCAGTGGACTGAAGTTCCCATGCCCAGATTTCGGTGTCACAGCCTTTAACTCTGCAACCTGGGTCTGAGACTTCTTTTTTTTTTTGATTTCTTTTACTCTGCCCATTTAAAAGGAACATATTCCTATGAAAGGTTCCAACTGTAAAACCGGGGTGGACATTGCAACGTGCTCCACATTCCAGCCTTGCATGGCTGGAGTGGTGTCTCATATCCTGAAATACCACCTGCACCAGCCCATGAAGTATTAAGGCTCCCCTCTCGCTGTGGCCAGGAATACCTTGCGGCAGCAGTTCCCAGGGGCAGAACGCTCCGAGAAAGGTCACTGACACAGCACAAAGGGCACCGACACAGCGGCCACCGGCAGCAATTCTCCTCTGCGCTATTATTAACAGCCCCGAGCAGCCCTCAGGAATCCGCCGCTGCTCCCACGGCCCCAGACAATGAGAGCGCCTGCTGCTGAAGGCAATTAAGGGACATTTAATGGCAATAAAGGGAGGTTTAATGACAATGGGGAATGATACCATCACAAATAACATCCCCAGTCTCCTTTGCCATCGTGCCGTGCTGTCCTAGGAGCAACATCCTCAGTGGTGTGACCTGCAGGAGCTCAGGAGACTTCTGCAAACTGAAGTGATCCCACCAGTGGCATGAACAGGGATCTTACCTGGGTAACTCACCCCAAGGACTCCTGGAGCCCCTCTGCTCTGGAGCCAGGCTGGGAGAGCTGGGGGGGTTCACCTGGAGAAGAGAAGGCTCCAGGGAGAGCTGAGAACCCCTTGCAGGGCCTAAAGGGGCTCCAGGAGAGCTGGAGAGGGACTGGGGACAGGGGATGGAGGGACAGGACACAGGGAATGGCTTCCCACTGCCAGAGGGCAGGGAGAGGTGGGATATTGGGAAGGAATTCCTGGCTGGGAGGGTGGGGAGGCCCTGGCACAGGTTGGGCAGAGAAGCTGTGGCTGCCCCTGGATCCCTGGAAGTGTCCAAGGCCAGGTTGGACGGGGCTTGGAGCAACCTGGGATATGGAAGGTGTCCCTGCCCATGGCAGAGATGACCCCAAGCCCCCCAGTCTCTCCCCACTCCCACATGGGCTCAGTCTCACACACAGATCTCTCCACATTTTCCCATTCCTCTGTCAAAAACGACTCAGGCTTTTAATGCACCTTTTCTCTCCAATAGGGGATCAAGGAGGAAGAAACTTTACTCAATTCATTAAATAGTTTTAATTTCGGAGAGTCTGGCAGACTTTCAGCTTGTTTCTTTTGAAAACAATTCCAGGGGAGGCTGAACTCCTGGTGACTTCATGGGGCTTTTTATAAAGCGACTTATTGAGCGTGGAGGGACAGAAACAGCTGCAGAGTCACCCTGGCCGTGGCAGAGATGCCCTGAGCCTTCAGCAAGGCCACCACCCCCACGTCTCCCAGGGAAGATGCTCGTGGAACACGCTGGTTTTCAGGGAAGGAGACAACTTACCTTCAGTTTGGGAACGTCTCGTGACAGATCCTGATCATCCCGATCATGTTCTCAGCCGGTGCTCCTTTGTGTTGGCCTAATTAATAATTAATAATTCCCTTCCCCATCTGAACATTCAGCGCTGATCGGGTTCCACCAAGTTAAAACACTTTCCGTGCTGGAAATTCCCTGTCAAGAACATCTTTGCTGAAAAGTACAATTGAAGATCAAAAAACTCTTGGAGAAGCAGTTGTTGATCCACAGGCACAGGTTTCTGAGCAACAAATGTTTTTGTTCCTCCAATTTATTTGGCTTTGTTCTGCAAAGCAAGTAAATCGTTTTCAGGTGTGAAAGGGAGTCGTTCCCATAATGAAACCGGCTGTGGAAAAACAACCCATGGGAAAACAGCAGAAAAGGTGGCAACGGCAGGTTTGCTGAGGAAGGACTGTTGTTTAAAAGCAGAAACAACACAGACTAAAGCAAGATTAAACACAGGCTGTCCTGGGCAGTCCAGGCACCACGGAAAACCCCGTGGAATTGCTGTGAGTGTCTGAGCTAAAAGCTCATCCTGAGACAAAAATTAACTTTCAGGGGTTACTGGTCTGCCCAACAGATCATTAAATTACTCCCTCACGGTGATTTGGGCTAAAAGAGGGGTTTTTAGCAGCACGTTCAGCTGCCGGGTTAGAGGAGAGATGATGGTTGCAAAAACAGGAGTGGCACAGGAGGGACTGGACAGGGATAAGCCCCGTTCCCGTGGGTGGAATGAGAGGATCTTTAAGGTCCCTTCCAACCCAAACCATTCTGGGATTCCACAACCTCTGCTTTAGGAACACAGGGGCAGCTGAAATCCATTGAGCTCCAGCTCTACAGCAAAACCCAGGAGCTTTTAAAATCAGCTGCAAAACCTCCAGCACGAGCAGGATCTCACCTCAAGTACTGAACAGAAAAGCCAAAATCCTGACTCCAGTAGTGCCCTTGACCCGGGATCCTCCTTCCATCCACAAGAACCTCTGCTGGTCCCAGTCTGCCACGGCTGGTTTTAGCTGGGAACGTTGTAGACTAATAAATAAGATGTTGCCATAAAAAGGCCACAGGGCTTCCATCCCCCTGACAGATCCCAGAGCTGATTGAGCCCCTTGGGTACAGCAAAATTCCCGGGGATAAAGAGCTTTCAGTGTGAAGTATTTGCTGATAAAAAGGAGGCTCCTGCCCCCATCTGGCCTCCCTGAAGGGAGCAGGAGCCTGAGGTGGATCCTTGAGGATCATCGAGTCCAACCACCGTGGTTCCCAGCCCGTGGCACTGATGCCACATCCAGTCTCTTCTTAAAAACCTCCAGGGATGGAGAATCCCCCACTTCCCTGGGCAGCCCATTCCAATGCCATGAATTCAGGTTTCAAAGCCATAACCCGGGTAAATAATGACAGGATTCAACAGGACAAGGCCCTCCCTCTTCAACATTTACACTGAATCTTTATATCTTTTTTTTTTTTAAAAAATTAGTTTAAATTTAGTGTAAAAGAAAGTTTAGTTTCCATTGTTCCCAGAGATCTGCATCTCTTTGCAGGACCCCAAAAGTTGCCTACATATATATATATATATATACATACACACACATATATTTATATTTGAAGGAGAAAAAAGCCTTCCAGTTCTGAAGAAGGAAGGCAAAAAGCAAATTGGAACTAAAAAATTAATAACAAGAATTAATTCTATTGACTATTGCCAATGTTGTCGACCATTCTGTAGTTTTGCATCTAATTCGACCTCATATTAAAATAAACCCATATTCAGAGAGAATAAATCAACGCAGAGGGTGCAATTTCGACGGGAAAACAGCATTTCACACTCATTTTAATTCCTGTTCTGCACACACTGATCACCAAACTTGTCCCTAACAACCCCCCCAAACAAGCCCCTCCCTCCCAGCTCTGGCAGAGCAGCACATTTCACCCCAAACAGCCCCAAAATCTCGGTCAGAAATCAGATATTTGCTTGAGAAGCTTCACTGCAACTCATGCACACGCAAGGTTTAAAGCACACAGGCACGTTCTGACAAGTGATTTCACCTCAAAAATCATAAATACTGGCAGGTTTTAAAGAATTAGCAGTCCTGACATCACCCATAAATGCATATATAGGATGGCACAGAGCTCCCCACCCCAAATCCAGACCAAATTTGTGTTTGTTCCACTCCAACAAGAATCAAAACAACGGGATGAATTCCCTTCAGCTCCACAAAAACCAGATTTTAAGAGCCAGAAAGAGGCAAAGGGGCAGCAATTCAAGGAATGCCCTGATAAAATTACAGGGGAAAAAATAAAAAAGTTGCTTAATAGAATCATGGTTTTAATTTATGATAATAAATAGCTTTATAAAATGTTTTAGCTGAATTACTTCAATATCCAAGCGTGAGTTCAGACTCCGGTGCTCCAGCTGGGAACTTCCAGCCCTCCAAAGTCTCAGGATCAATATGAAGCCATAATTTTACACGTTCTGGAATGAGATTTTATTGCAGTCTCAGCATCAGCCACATTTCTTTCAGAAAGGAGACAAAGGGAAGTACAAAGTCCAAGGGATCCCAGGGAACCTGACCCCGCTCAGGTGATTCACACACACGGATGTGACTCGGCATTTGTAAACAACAGACAGGCCAGAGGAGGCAATGACAGCCTTGGGAGGGTCACCTGGGAAGTTCAGACTCCAGGAATTGCAGGTTTAGTGCTGGAGGGTGGAACTGGATCCAGTCCTTGGTCGGTTCCCTGCGACGCAGGCTCGGAGCTGAGCCCTGGGGCTGCAGCATTCCAGGGTTTGGAGAAGAACTTGGGAAGAAACGTGTCAAAAACATTCATGGGAACATCACATGGACAGAGTTAAACTGGATCCTCTATCATACACCCCCAGTTTTATTTCTTACCCACGGACATGCTCACCCTGGGCTGGTTTGTTGGGTTATTTTTTAGCCTCTCCAAGACAATCCCTCTTTCCTTGGCCCCCTCTCCCACCCTCCCTGGTGGTTTGATGCAGGAAGGATTCACACAAGGTGACACTGAGCTGATGATGCACAAAGAACCACTCCCAGCCTCCCAGGGAAAGCAGCATTTTCTGCCTTCATTCACTCTCTGCCAAGTTTTCTACAGTTACAAAGAGGAAAAGCTTAAAAACCCCTCCCAGCTCGGTCCTTACTCACCCCAAACCCACCTTCAGAGGCTGAGGGTGGTGCAGGACTCACTGCTCTGTGGATAAAGCTCCAATCCAAGATAAAAATGAACCACTTGTAAGGCAAGAAGGGAACTTCTGCTCGTGATTCCAACACAGGTTGTAAGAAGTTACAGTGGCAGCCCCTTGTAATTTGTCATTTTTGTCCATTTAATGCACTCACTGCAACAACAGACTCCACTCACAGCTGTACTTCCAACATTTTCCTTCCTTAGTCCCATCTGGGTGCCCTGGGATGGCCCTGCCCTGCCCTGCCCTGCCCAGGGATGCAGCACTGGAAGGCTTCAATCCCACTCATCCCAACGAGCTCCAAATGGCTTTTCAGCCCTAATTCCAGTGCCAAAGTGAACGTCCCACCAGCCAGAGAGGAAGGAGCCACTTCCACCAGGAGGTTCCAAGGCCAAGGATTCCTGGCCTGAGTTATTTAAACAGAGCTCCTTGACAGGAATCCCAGCCAAGCACCCTGAAACAAGGACAAATCCCATCCTTCCCATCCCAAAGCAGGCTGGAATGGGCCTGATCAACGGAGAGCACTTGGGATGGAGGGGAGAACAGTCACAAATCCATCACAAATCACCTCAGAACTGCTGTGTGGGGAGGGAAAACCCACTTGTTTCCACACTCTGAGATGCTTCTATAGATATATTTCTATTCTGAGGAAATGGAAGTTGTAGCATAGGAAGAAAACCGAATTGTGGAATCAGTTTTAGGCACTTGAGCTGCAGAGGCTGTGGAAGGTGCTCACACACTCCCCCTACACCCCCAGGATGCACAGGGGGAGCAGCTCCTCAGCCTCCCTGAAAGGAAAAAGATTAACAAGTGAAGCTTGGGAGATCCCTGCTCACATTTTTCAACTTTATATTCCACCTCTCCTCACAATTAAAGGCCTGGGTAACTTTCAGATTCCAGAGGCAGCACATCCTAGAGACCACTGACCAAATTTATTACCTGCTAAACCAAAAGAAACATTTTAAGTGTTATTGAAAAAGGGCTTAACGCGATTTTTTTGCTCATAAAATGCCACTCTGCAGCATAAACTTCAATAACCAGTTTTTAAGGCCTCTCCCTTCTCTGCAGAATATCCTAAGTTAGAATTTCATATCCTTAGAAGGAATTTCACGGAGCACAAAAGGCAAAGCTGGAAGCCAAGGCAGCACAACACCGAGGGTGAAACACAACCAAGGTCACAACTCAGGGTAAGACAATCCAACAATTCCCAACAATCCCCAAGTGGGGCTGGGAGCAGCACTGATGCAAAGTTCCCTTGTTTTTCTATGGACAAAGCTGGGAGAAAAATGGGAATTGTCCTGCAGGGAAGGGGAAAAAAAGCTGTAAACAAGAAGCTCAGCCACAAAGGGGCTGAGAGATCAAAAGTTTGGCTGCTCTTCTTGGGGACTGAAACGTTTTTAACTTCCCACACGTGAACTTCAAAGCACCATCCCAGCAACCATTCCAGGGGGGTTTGGAATCGTTGGCAATGGGGTGACAAACCCCACCACCCCCCCAGACTGAAAATCAGCATTTAAAGCCCAGCTGGGAGTGCCAAGCCCTGGACAAGCTGCAGGCACAGGATGTGTCGGTGAACATCAGGCACCTCTGAATTGTGGCCACATCTGCCCCCAGAAATACAGAACAGACACGAAACTCGTGGCTACACGTGCCATGGCACACCTTGGTTGGAGCTGGGTTAAGGCTGGCTTGTTTTCACTGCCCCCCCCACAGAAAACAGCTGAAATGTTGGGTTATAAACTCCTCAGGGCACCAAAGACACCGTTCACCAGCCAGGTTGGGTGTGCAGGGACCCCCAGCCCCTCGCTGGGCCCAGGGGAGGGCACCCACCAAAGTGGAAGTGGCCAAGAGAGGGGAAGAGCAAACCCAAGATAAACACACAATGTCTGGTCAAACACAACCCACACCTGGAGAAACCACCACACCTTCGTTCCACGGACACAGAAATCCTACAAACCTCCAAACGAGCAGCAAATCCCCCAATCCAGCTCCATCACTGCCCTCTCATTAACAACAACTCCTTTTCTTAACAACCAACCCCCAGCCTGAGTGAACTGAGCCCAGTGTTTAACACCTCGGAGGGATCAAAGCAAAGACTCACAAACCAAATGCTTGGGTTTAGAAGCAAAGTCTGCTTTTTCTTTTTTTTTTTTTTTTTTGTTTTCCAGACTAGAAAATGTACAATTCCATTTCATGTGTGTGCACAGAGCTCGTTGCTTGTAGATACTGTCAGAGAGACTGAGAGAGCCCCTGCAGGAAATTGTTAATTCTTCAAACATTGATACAGTTTGCAATACACCAGTTAAATACCAAGATCTATGTGCATGCACTATGGGTATATGCATGTACACCTTAATGTTTAACAGAGACAGCACATCCCCCGGCCAGGGAGCCTCAGAGATACCAAAAAATAGATTAAAAAGGTCAATTCTTTCCCTGCCTTTGTTAAAGGCAGATTTTTGAGGCTGCCTCCTTTCCCTCTCCCCGGGGATCCACGTGCTCCCAGGGAGGCAGGAACACCACCAGCCAGATTATCCCAGAGAGAAGCACCTTAAAAAGTTCAAACTGAGCTTTTTCTGTAAAATGCCTTTTCCAGCCCCCTCAGGAAGGGAAGGACACCTGAAGCACAGGTTGGTTTCGTTCTGCTGCCCTCCCCAAACCCCTCCAACAGAAGAGCCTGTGATTAAGGCCACATGCACTCCCACAGCCCTGACATGTCAAACCACCATCCCAACTGCCTCCAGCCTCTAAAATGGGAATTCTGGACACCTCCTGCATGGGACAGGCATCCCACCAGGTGCCACAGCAAGGAAAGGTGATCCTAGTGTTCCAAAAGTGCTCTGGGGACCATGCAGGGAGTTCTCTTTTCACCTGGAACTCGTGTGGGTCACTTAGAGCCTTCCAAGTAGTGTCATGTTTTGTCCCCATCCAGTTCCCTATTGATATATCTGCACATTTATGCAGCAAAGAGAGTTTTTCCTCTGAAAAACACTTCATTAGAGTGTGACTTGTATGACTCCAGTGGGGCTGTCAAACACACTTTTGTGCCTCCTCTTTGGTTTATAAAAAAAAACAAAAAAAAAACAAAAAAAAAGACATTTTTCCCTTTTTGACAGCTGAAGGTACTTTTAGACCTGAATCAACCAACCAGCAAAGGAGAGCAGTGGGCAGGACGTGCACCTGCAGCATCACCCAAACAACAACTGCAACAGGAAAGGAAAACCCACCTCCTTTTCAACTCTCGGGCAAATTTGGCCAACACTGTCATTCAAATCTCAATCCACGTGTGCCCCAACCCATTCCAGCCTCCTCCCTAACCAGAAAATCCTGTGGAAAACCAGCCATGGGCTGAAGGGAGGGTGGGTTTGTCCAGTTGTGGGAGCCAAGGACTGGTGGACACAGAGGGAGAGCCCTGGGACACGTTGGTGCTGCTGCCAACAGGCTGATTGGGAGTCACACACTGCTCTGAACGGATTGCAAGGAACCTAAAGTTGAGGTATAAATATACACAAATATGTACAGTTCACATACAGGAAAATAGGGTTGCATTTGTAACATCGGGAACCTTAAAAATACTGGAGGAGTTGATACCTAAGCCAGTGATTTGTTGCTGATTTACTGGAATAATGAAGCCAACATCTTCCACTAGAGAGGGCTACAATGGGATAATAAAACTCTAAATTAAAAGCTCCTTTTCCTCTTGCTTCATCTTCCCCACGCCCAAGGCTGGACTGTCCCGAGGGGCTGCAGCTTCTAAAGGTTGGTCACAGCTTTGAAAGGGATCCTCCCAGGAAACCAAAGCAAACTGGAGCCAGGGCTGCACCTTTCCCTCTGGGAATGGTCCTTGTTCCTGTACACTGTGTGTGGGCAGCTATGTAGAAAATACAGTTGCAATCAGTTCAGTATAAATACATCCACCCCACCGCCTCTGCCGGGGAACGGCTCCCCTGGAGCAATGTCTGTGCAAAGAGGGCACCAAAAATCATCTGATCTTAAGCCTTGACATCATCCACTCCAGTCCTTGGCACAGCCTGTGAACAGAAGGGACAGTGGTTAAGGAATTCGTGCACTTCTGAGGAGAACTCCAAAGGTAATTCCATGGCATCAGCTGGAATTCTTCCCATGAGTCATTTCCAGAACTATCCACGCCAAGTGTGGCGTTTCCTACACCCTGTTATGCAATCCAGGAGTGAGACACCTCAGATCCTGGCACTTCAGGACAGGAAGGTCTCTCTAACTGGGATTACTCTTAATAAACCAGAACAGATTCCAGGTCATTAAGCCCAGTTCATACACAGTTTTATCTTTGTGAGGTGAGACTGGATTTGATGTAAAAGTTGGTTTTCTGACCACACTGATCCTAAGTCAGTGTGTCCTGAGCCCAAAATAAGTGTCAGGATTATTAAGTGGGGAGGCCCTGGAATGAAATTCCCAGAGAAGCTGTGGCTGCCCCATCCCTGGAAGTGTCCAAGGCCAGGTTGGAGCAATCTGGGATAGTGGGAGGTGTCCCTGCCCGGGGCAGGGGGTGGGACAAGATGATCTTTAAGGTCCCTTCCATCCCAAACCCCTCTGGGATTCCGGGATTATTTCTGAGAGGGGAGGAATGGAAGGGTGTGTTAAAACCAATGTGTGTTAAAACCAAGCACTAGAATAAAACCCCCAAATAACTCTGGAGCCAGGGATCCCTCTTACCCCTCTCCAGTTAGAGCACAGCAGGCCTGAATGTGCCACTGGTGATCCTTAATGGAAGTGAGCTTCAGGAACTGGGAGATTTCAGCCACTGTCATGCACTCCTTCACATCCTGCTTGTTTGCAAAGATCAGCAAACCTGCTTTTTTCAAGTCCTGGGGAGAGAGAAGAGAAGATGATGACAAAGCAGCCCTTGGAGGCAAACGATGTGATACCAAAGAGAACCCTGAGCCCCAGCCAAAAATCCTGCAGGAAAACTGCTGCAGGGGGACATGGCAGGGCAGGAAACCCTTGGAGCCAGCAGCCCAAACATCCAGGTTTTGCCATGGATGATGTGTAAAACTCAGCACAACGTTCTGCTGTGCTCCAGGAGGATCAGAGCACCTGTATCCCTGGGCAGCACTGAATTTGGGAACAGGTTCTCCGTGGACAAGCTTATTTGGCCTCCAACTGCTTGGAATTACACCAGTGCAGGGGTTATTATGGAAAATGTCTCCCTTGGAAAGCAAGAAGGTGTTCCCAGGAAGCCAAGCCAACTCAGGCATTAACTGCCTGTCGGGCACACTGATGTTTACAGGCAGCAAAATTAATTCCCAAACTGCCACCTGGTCCAGAAAATACTTGGAACCGACCTGGGAAACTCAATTTTGCCTCAACAGGAGCTGAATGGAACCCCTGGGCAGAAAGGAAAGATTTCCAGGAGCAAAGAAAAGCCACTTTAAATAAATATTTGAGTTTCCTTTCGGCCTGTAGGTATTGCTGTTCTCTCCAAACAGCCTGGAAACATCCTGCTGGACAACAATGGGCACATTCACTGGGGGGTGGCTCAGGAATCACATCCCAACACGGAGCAAGGGCTCCTGCGGCCTGGAATTCTGCACTTTCCTCGTGGCAAATTTGAATTAACAACTTCTGCATCTTCCTTTGTTAGGAAACAGAAGATGCAGATTAGAATTTACTTGATTGACTACAAGTTAAACATAAAAAAATTTAAAAAAAAATTTAAATATCAAAAAAAAGAGAAATTTGAGGCACTGGTTTTCTCTCCAAGGAAATCCATAGGCAGGCTTTGCCCTTCCTGCAGTCTAGTTTACAGTTTATTGGGAGTTTCACAAGAGGCAGTTGAGGGTGGAAATCTGCTTCCCTTAACATGTATCACACAGATAAATATTAAAATATTAAAATAAATACATTAAAATAAAGACCCTGGGTTTGCTCACCTCGTGTGCCAACATTTTATACAGTTCTTCCTTAGTCACAGAGATCCTCTCTCTGTCTGTGCTGTCCACCACAACTATCACAAACTGCAAAAAGTGAAATTATTAGAGAACAAACCCCTTCTGTGTGGCCAAATGTTGCTGGTTCCTGCCCAGGCCCCTGCTCCCATCCCATTATCCAGCTGGATTATCACCCCTATCCCACCCTCTCCCTCAGCCCCATGGGGTGTCCCCCAGCCCTGGGGTGGTTCCCACAGCTTGTGCTGTGGTTTGGGGACAAAGCTCTGACACAACTTGGGACTTTCTGTTCTCCATTTTTAAGGGAAAAAATTCATATTGAAAGTGAGGAAATTCTCTGTAATCCCAGGCCTGGGGTTGTCCCTTCCCTGCCACAACTGAGGCCCCACAGAGATCCCTCAAATCATTTGCTGCAGCCTTAAAAACATAAAGTGTATCAGTTTTCTTGCTCTAGTTCTAAAACTAACAGGCAAATAGGGATTCAAAAAGTCCTTTGGCTCCAACCTCCAAGAGCCCACATGCAGATAAATGTCACAGAATCCTTTAGGCTGGAAAGGACCTCTAAGAGGTCACAACATCTCACAGGGAAGCACAGGAGAACAAAGGCAATTATTGTAAGAATTGTATTTAGCCATATATAAATATAATTTATAGAACATAACTGTATTGAAACCATATTTGACAGCACACAGGAGACCTTGATTTAAAGCATTATTTCTATCAAGTTGTGTGCTTGATAAAATGTATATATATATATTTATATGTGCTGCAACTTCAC